AGCTCAGTGCAGGTGAAGTGGAAGTTTTCTATTAGATTTTTCAGTGTTCCAGACGCTTCACATCTTTTGACCCAGTTAGATGGTAATGAAGCAAGGTGCTGCTTTTCAGAGGGTAAGCTTAGGGTAACTCTCTTCCTTTCCACCTAATCCTAAAACTCAGGGAGGGATTGTACCTGCAGAAGTATGTGTGTGGGAGAGAGAAGATGATGTGAGAAGGAGGTGGAATGGTCAAGTTGATCCAAGTATGGGCACAGGAGTGGACATTAAAAGTCAGGCATGATTAAAAACTATCTCCCTTGTTATTTTATTTTTCCCCACCCTTTTGCAGTGCTGGGGATGAAACTCAGGACTCATGCATGCTAGGCAAGTTCTCTACCACTGAGCGACGCTCCCATCCCTCATCTCCCTTCTTTACCAAATGCATAAGATTCTGCCCTTTTGCCAGTATGCCAATGAGGTTATGATGGGCTCATTCCCTATTCCCCCAATTAAAAAGGAAATCTTCTATTTCAACAGATTATATGGTTGCCAGTGCCCAACTCCAAAGAGGCAGAAAATATCAGTCTTGTGGGGGAAGGTTCTTTTGGCAAGGCAAGCATCATCCTCATGGCCTCAGAGAGTCTCTCTCCGCACTAATGACTGGTAGGTCTTTGGAATCGATATCACACAATCAGGTGTTTGCAAAGAGATACCACAGCTAATGACTCACCCCCAGTGTTATTGGTCTCAGATGAAACATAATTTACAATAAAGTATTGTTTTAGCAGACACATCATAGCTGCTTAAAATATGCAGTAGCAATTATTTGCATTTGCTGCCAGGTTATTATCTTGCTTATTTACAAAGAAAGTGGCTAGCTGTCACCCTGGCTTTCTTCCACAGTAAACCATGAATAATTTTTGTTAAAGTCTGTACTTTGAATTTAAACATAACCGGGCCATTATGGCTGGCTGCCGTCATAAACAAGCGTATGATTTGCATGTGTAGATGAGCCTATTGGAGCTGCAAATGAGGGTGGCCTCATAGAGAACATTATTCTGCTTCTCCATCCTGCAGAATTCATAACCGCCAGGGAAATCGATTCATAACTAAAGGTCTAATTGAGGAGTTAGGACAGGATAATATACAGTTGCCAGAGTGAAGTTTGATATGGAATTTAAATCTTGTCTCTGGTTCCAGGTACCGTGGTTGGAAATGCAAATCATTCCTTTTAAAACTTACTTGCAAATGGATGAAACAATCTCTGAGTTAATGGACTCAATGGGAATTTCCCCCCACCACTGGCAATTTGAGATGCATATTATTATCAAGTTATTGGGCCCATGACTCCTCTCTTTACATCACTGCTGCCATCCCCAGCATGGAAGCTGTGTTTGGATTCCATCAGATTCTTAAACTTATACTTGTATTAACTTTGGATGATTCTAGTTGAGCATGTCACTAGTTGTGATGGGATTATTCCTGAGCTAAATGATTCTGACTCAGGAGAGCACCTAGACCTGGTGGAAGGAAACAGAAATGACAGGACAGCTCCCCAGGGAAGTACGCTATTTATCTGAACTTCCTTCACAGAAGCATTTCCTCAGAGATCTGACAACAGACCCCTGTGGGGAGCTGGGTCTGAGGTGGCACTGGTTTGGTTGAGGCCCCTGTTGTGGACATCGGTTACAGGTAGGATGAGGAGGTATATATGGATGAACATGCATGTGTGTCTGCACGGTTTTGTTCACTTGTATATTCTTTACTATCAACTTCCAAGTGGACTGTTGACATTAACATCCTAATCGGTACATGCTTAGGGTTCCTACAGAGCAAGAGAGCCCCTCCAAAATGGTTTTTTGTTTTTTTGGAAAGAATTTAAATACTTGAGAGTGTGCAAATAGTCATTCCATGGAAACCAAGAGCTGCCTCAAATACTCTCAAACATCTTTTCTGATTTAGTATGTGGATTGTCTTTTGGTTGGGTTGAAGTTGTACCATAACATTGATATTGGTTGAGACTCTGAACATCTTCCTAGGATCCGGCTGATGGCTTCACCTCCTGGTAGGAGCCAGATGGTGAAGCACTGAGACCAGGGAATAGGGAAAGGAAGAGTGATCTATCCCTGGAGAGTATTGAGGCAGAGCCTGAAGGCCAGGCCTGCTATAGTTCCTAGTCAATTTTTGGATAAAATCATAATTTTGTGCAAGGTAAAGACCTCTAGACTAAGTCAGAGGTGCTGGATCTGATTTCTGTCTTTATCATTGACCTGACTGATAAGGTTTGGTGTGGTTGGTGTGTCCTTCAAAGGTTCATATGCTGGAAGCTTGGTGTCCAGTGTGGTGGTGGGAGATGATGCATAACCTTTAAGAGTTGGGGCCTGGTGGAATGTCCTTAAGAGCAGTGGAGTTATGCCCTTTAAGGTGTTGTGGGACCCTGATCTTTCTCTGGCTTCCCGTTTCAAGATAAAATCCTTCCTCCCATCTGTACTCTTCAATCTGCTATTTGGCCCTCACCAAGCAGATGTACTGTCTGGACTTTCAGTATCCAGAGCTGTGAGATCAATAGATTTCTTTTTATTCACAAGTACCTTGATTCAGGTATTTAATTATAGTAATGAAACACAATAATAACATGGATGTAAGATCTCAGGTTGTTCACTATAGTCCTATTTCAATTCAGCCACTTCCTCAACTGCAGTTTTATTCTCTTTCCTTCTTTGGTTGTAGTTGAGTACTTCTTCAAAGGTAAACAATGAAAGCACTTTGAAAATTTAAAAAGTACTTCATAGCATAGGTGCTAAACTTTCTTAAAAGTAGAACTTGGACCCTCTGAAATAAAATCCTACACTGCAGCAAATATTTGAGGAAAGCTTTCATTCTTGGGCAATTTCTTGGAAAAAGTATTTTAACCTTCCCAGTTATTTACAAATGGATGTGATTATCAGAATTGCAGTATGTCAGAGCAATTTCTTCTGAAATGGCTTGGAAGATGAGGACCAGACAGGCTAGACATCATCTGTTCTTTTTTTGATAGGTTTGTGTACACACATACACACATATATATACATACATTCATATACATACATAAATACATACATGGTGGACGTTGTCTCAAAAGATAATTACCTAGTTTTGAACATGTGCTATTATATAAATCAATGGTTTAAATGGTAAGAGATAAGATCCCTTTTAATTATAATAATCTTTTGAAACAACAAAGAAGAGAAATAATTTTAAGTCAGCATTATGACACATAGTATGTGCCTTCTGATTATTACAGTCCTTTATTATATATTGTTAGGCAACCTAGTATTCACACAATGTAGAAGTTAGGGATGCACCAAACATGGGAGAAATAAAAATGGGAATCAGTTAAGAAAATTTCTTGATTATGACCTGGGTAAATTTTCCTCCTTCTTGATATATACTGAAAACTATCTACAGAGTTGATTCCCAACTAGGAAAAACCCTTGGAGAAAATGTGGTCCATCTCTGCACAGGTGATGTTATTGTGGCCCTCTTAGAGGATGTTGAAAACAAGAAGAGCTGTTGATCTGTATGACTGAAGTATATGTCTGGCACATTACAGATACTCAGTAAATGCTCATTGAATTATAAACCTTAGGAGCCAGGCATTTCATTGTAGCACACAGTTCAGTGGTAAATAATGGACATGACCAGGAATCACAGTGCTATAAATTCAGGTCAGGAGTTGTGAGTTGTAGACTCAATTTTACCACCAATCGCTTATGCAAAGCTCATCACTTTTTTTAGCTTAAGTTTTTTTCTGTGTCCATCGTGAATAAAATTTTCCACTCTAGCTGCTTTAGGTGAGTGCTTATTGTAAAAAGGCAAACACATATCAATATACCTTGGAAAATGTCCAGTTTTCTCCTCTATAGCAAGTGAACTTGTTGCAGAGATGGATTAGCAAGATCATACTGTCTATAAGGTAAATTCCAGGTAATAACAGAAAACAGCTAAATGAGATATTTCATTAATGGCTGAAGTTGGTGGTTGCCATTTATTTATTGCTCCTCAAATTTCCTGGAGGAGGGATAAACTTGTCTAGAGCAGAGTTATGGACTGGAAATCAGTCTGGGATATATTAATTATTAGAACATTTCTTTTTTTTAAAATATTTTTTAGTTGTTGATGGACCTTCATTTTTTAAATTAATAACTAATTACTTACTTACTTCATATGTGGTACTGAGAATTGAACCTAGTACCTCGAACATGCAAGCACTCTACCACTGAGCCACAACCCCAGGCCCTAGAGCATATTTCTTACAAAAGCATTTTAAGATAAAATGCCAGGCTAAGGTAGAATTTCAATTTTCTAGGTGTTCAGAATCTCAGAATAACAGTGCCTGGAGTCCAGGACACCAGTAATAAGCCTACCAAAGAGAGCAGAACAGGAATAGATAACCCCTTGTATTTAAAAAGCCCTCCATTTAGAAAACTATGCTTTACACATTTCTGTTTCCTATATGGAAAGCCAGATTTATCAAAAATAGTTATGGGATGGATATTCATGTGTTTTCATAAGATTCAACCAAACCAATTATTCTACAGTACTTAGAGATATGAACATGTGAATTAAAAGGCATTGACTTTCTATAATTTATTAGTTGTATACCTAAGTGCAGCTGTTTTAATGGTGTGAAAGTCCCATGAAAAAATCCATTTAGTTTTTTCCCACTTGAAACATGTCAGATAGCCACAGGTTTCCTTGAATCAATTATAGTAGAAGATCAAATAATTGCAATGTGTGATTGAAACTAGGACAGTTTCTTACTATTAATAATGGAGTGAACACACTTATTGGACATCCCTCGTTTTCTGGGGTTTTGGTCATCTCTGAATTTTGGTTGGTTATATTATGATCCTAAGACAATGTCTCCGTCTAGAATTCATTCACATCTCCAAAGATCTTTTTTTTTTTTTTTTAATATATAAAGGAGAACTTACGGGGAGACCGGCCCGCGCCCGGCACGGTGGGTGGGCCCTCGGGCGCAGGCCTTGGTGACTCCAACCATGCAGGACTGCCCTCCCCAGAAGGACCACCCCAGCAGGCCAAAGAGGGGCCTCCCAGCTTCTTTCCTCTGCTCCCGGTGACCTCCACCGACTGTGTCCCTGACACTTGAGTTGGTGGCAACTTAGGGAGGAGCTATCTCAGAGGGCCAGGCTGCTTGGGTGAGGGCTCCTGCACCATGCCGACCAAGGCCACGTGCATGCGTCACACAGAGGCTCCTGGGCAGCTGGAAGCCAGAATGCTCAAGGGACGCCTTCCCGGAGCAAACAAAGACCTCCTCCCAAGCCCTGGGGCCCTGCCCACTCCCCACCGCCAGGACCCTGAGAAGAACCCCGTGCCTTCTTTCAGTGATCCGGCAAAAATCAGCAGTGAGGACCCCCAAGCCCGGGCAAAACCCACCACCCCTCAGCCCCCCACGAGGCCCAGGCTAGAGCGGACCCTGTCCTTAGATGATAAGGGCTGGAGAAGGAGGCGTTTTCCACGGAGCCAGGAGGACCTGGCCACCCAGGGTGGGGCCAGCCCCTACAAGGGCTCCGAGCAGGACATGGCCCCCCCAGGCCCCGGCCCACAGTTGCCCTCCACCCTGCCTGAGCACATCTTTGCAGGAGATCCCCAAGCCCCGCAGGGCTGTGGGCAGTGAGGGTGGAAGCCCCTCTTCATGGGGTAACTGTCTCTCTGGAATGATCAGCACCTCCCTGGAGTTGCTGCACAGGGAGGCTGCCCCAGCTGGGAGCTCCCCGAGGCTGGCCATCCTGTGTCCCCCTCGCCCACCACCCACCCCAGATCTGAACGTGGCCTCCAACTCCCCAAGGATGGCAAACAAGGTTGACTCCGAGCATGCCGACCACAAGCACCACGCACAGCCCAGGCTGGTACGGGCCCATAGCAGCCTGGGCCCCAGCCACGGAGCCCCCTGGCCTGTGACACCCACTCCCTTCATTCAGCCAAGTCTTTCTTCAGCCTCCTGGCGCCCATCCGCACCAAGGACGTCCGGAGCAGGAGCTACCTGGAGGGGAGTCTCCTGGCCAGTGGGGCCCTGCTAGGGGCAGATGAGCTGACCCAGTACTTCCCAGACCGGAACATGGCCCTCTTTGTGGCCACCTGGAACATGCAGGGCCAGAAGGAGCTCCCGCCAAGCCTGGATGAGTTCCTGCTGCCCACCGAGGCTGACTACACCCAGGACTTGTATGTCATTGGGGTGCAGGAGGGCTGCTCTGACAGGCGGGAATGGGAGACACGCCTTCAGGAGACACTGGGCCCCCGCTACGTGCTGCTGTCCTCGGCAGCCCACGGGGTTCTGTACGTGTCCTTGTTCATCCGCAGGGACCTCATCTGGTTCTGCTCAGAGGTGGAGTGCTCCACGGTGACGACACGCATCGTGTCCCAGATCAAGACCAAGGGGGCCCTGGGCGTCAGCTTTACCTTCTTCGGCACCTCCTTCCTCTTCATCACGTCCCACTTCACCTCTGGTGATGGGAAGGTGGCCGAGCGGCTGCTGGACTACACCAGAACCATCCAAGCCCTGGCTCTGCCTAGGAACGTACCAGACACCAACCCCTACCGTTCCAGTGCAGCGGATGTCACCACCCGGTTCGATGAGGTGTTCTGGTTTGGAGACTTTAACTTCCGCCTAAGTGGTGGACGCATGGCTGTGGAGGCCATCCTGAAGCAGGGTCTGGATGTGGATGTGCCGGCACTGCTGCAGCATGACCAGCTCATCCAGGAGATGAAGAAAGGTGAGCAGCCTGGGGCTGGCCAGCACGTGTGGGCTTGTGCTGATCTGAGCTAGCCTGTGTTGCAGGGTCCATCTTCAAGGGCTTCCAGGAACCGGACATCCACTTCCTCCCATCATACAAGTTTGACATTGGGAAGGACACCTATGACAGCACCTCCAAACAGAGGACCCCCTCCTACACGGACCGGGTCTTGTACAGAAGCCGCCATAAGGGCGACATCTGTCCTGTGAAGTACTCTTCCTGCCCTGGGATTAAGACATCTGACCACCGCCCCGTCTATGGCCTTTTCCGGGTGAAAGTGAGGCCTGGCCGAGATAACATTCCACTAGCTGCTGGCAAGTTTGACCGAGAACTGTACTTGATAGGAATTAAAAGACGGATTTCGAAAGAAATTCAGAAGCAGCAAGCAATGAAGAATCAGAACCCCAGTACCATCTGCACCATTTCCTGAAGTTGTTAGAGGAGGACCTTTGACCTAGAGCTGCTGGAGAAGACTGCAGTGTGTGCTCCTGACACCTGTCATTCATTCTCGGGTCCTGACGCACTGCCACTAGGGCTGCCCTACTTTCTCACCAAGAAACCCCCAGGCCAGACTGCATCCCAGGAAGAAAGCTGCCTTCACTTACTTGGGCGAGCCTGTACTTAAGACTTGTCCCCACAGGCCCCAAGTGGGGGGCTTCTCAGGGTATTGAAACTCCCATGACCTGCCTAGTGCCACAGCCTCTCCCTCCATTCCTTCATTTGCGGTTCCATACCCAGAGCCAGTTTCTATGTCCCACACAAGCTGGGCCCTTCCTCTCCACACAGGTGTATGGGGGTCAGGCCCTGGATCTGCCCTACAGCATGCTGAGGCCATGTTGGGGTCATGACAGTTGCCCTCTCCCAGGCCTTGAGCCCTCTCTTCCTTGGGCTGAGGCCCATGTGCTGATCCTATCTCCCCCACCCCCAGCTGAGTGAGGGCCACCTCCCTTCCCTCCAGAGGCCAAGCCCAGCTATGTGCTGCATCCGTTTTAGTGATCAGCAGACCATCTGCTTTTGTGACATCAGCCACAGGGTGGTGTTAACAGAGATGGTACTTCCTGCCCTGGACACTTAGGTTGGGCAGGGAAGCCTAGCTGGGGACTCTGTTCCTTAAAGAGGGCTTTGACCACATCATTGCTCTTTGAGTCTTATATTCTTGACAAGATACAGCCTTGAATGTACAGAGATTAGGGACATCCACTCTAGTCTTTAAATTTTATTTTTCCATATTTATATTTTTAAATAAATGCATATATAAAATCTTAAAAAAAATAGAAAGGAGAACTTGACCATTGTGCATATGAACATTTTCTGGTTGTGATACCAAAGAGTACTTAAACAAAAAACAATTTTTTAAAAATTTTGTTATGTTTTGAGATGAGATCTCGCTCTGTTGACTGAGCTGGCGTGGAATGCCTGGGCTCCATCAGTCCTCATGCTTCAGCCTCCTGAGTAGCTGGGACTACAAGTGTGCACCACCACACCTAGCTTTCCAAAGAGGTTTACTTATAGTGAAGTTTGATCCCTTTCAAGTCCATTCATATCTACTACTATTTTATCGGATGGTGGCCTCCCATGTACAGTCACGATGACTGATTGCATGAGACTTTTGGGTTTTCAAGGATTACTTGGAAGGCAATTCAAGTATCAAGACATAAAATTTAACCTTTATACCAATTTTTTTAATTAATGAAAAAGAATATTTATCTATTTTTACTTTTGCTCCATGTACCTCTCAGTCTGGAAGAAGTGGATTCTTCCTATATTGTCTGGACTTTTAAGGATTGCAATTCCAAGAAGGAAGCATGGTTTTCTTAGACTAGTGTTTCTGAAACTGAGGTCTAAGGACTTCCTACCTATAGTCATCTAAAAGTCCAGTTAAAAATTTAGACTCTTTTTTTTGGAGGGGGGTACCAGGGAATTGAATCCAGGGGCATTTAACCACCAAGCCACACCCCCAGCCTTTTTTATTTTGAGACAAGGTCTTGCTAAGTAGTTTAGGGCCTCCCTAAGTTGATGACGCTTGCTTCGAACTTGCCATCCTCTTGCCTCAGCCTCCCAAGTCACTGGCATTATAGGCATGAATCACCACACCTGGCTAAAAACCAGATTCTTGAGTTCTTCTGCAAACCTAAAGAAGTAGAACCACCAGGGTTGAATCTCGCATATCTAAATATATAACAGACTTCCCAGGAAAGTCTTATGCACATTAGTGGTTGAAAAATACCACTATAGATGTTGATAGACTCCTGTGTGGGTAGGGTACCATGTTGCAGATGAAATTGATGATGCTGGAAGCAGGGAGCCAAAGGAGGGTCTGGTGTTTATATATTTACACAGAAGACTTCTGCAATTTCTAAAAAGATCACTGGTGAGTCTGCTGCTCTCCTTGTGGTCATTCTCCATTTAGACAGCCCTCATCCTGATAGGCTGAAGTGGCCCAGCACTGTCAGTACCTGATATATGTAAGGTAAAGGACCAGGAAAGTGAATACCAGCACTCACCTTACCTTTGATCTTAGGAGTGCATCCTCTTTGCCAAGAATTTCCTTTCCTTCAGTCCCACTGAGGCTTTACAATTTAGACATTACCCTTTGAAGAAACACGTCTGTGACTTGGCGGGTATGTGGGGAGTTACGTAATGTACTAAAATCTTGTGTATTATTTGCAATCCATTGTTCTTGGCTCTTTTGCCCAACATCAATCTATCACACCTGGCCCTTTTCCATCACCATTCATAACTTAATAATGTTTTGGATCTTTCTTATTTCCAACTCAGAAAAATGTGTTGCTTGATTATTCTGGTTTCTATAGCTACAGTTGTAATTTCCTTCAAGATCTGTCTTTGGGTGTCATATGTTCCCTATAGGTTTGATCTGTGAGGGAGCTCTTCAGAAATTCATCTAGGAGGTGTCACAAGGGAAGAAGCCATTAGAAGATCAAAGCAGACTGGATTTCAAAGAATCATCTCTAGTATTCTTCACCGTATATTTAGGGGAAAATACATTTAAAAAATCCATGTACTTGAATTCTCCCATCGGTTCTTTTTATTTTTCTTCCTCCTTTGCTGGAATATTTTCATCTTTCTCTTGTAGCCTGTATGCTCCTTTTTTTATCTAATAAATTTTGTGAACCTCTTAAATGTTTCCCCAAGTTCCTCATCTCCATTAGCAGTTAAATTGTGCTCCTTTCGATTTTTCCAATTCACTGAGGTTTCTCTTCTCTTCTCTTCCTAAGTGTGAGAGCATAGGAAGTTCCTTTAGAACTCTGTGGCATCCACCTTAACAAGGTATTAACTGTTTTTAAGCTGTCATCTTGAGTTTTTGCTTGCTATAGCAATGAGATGGCCAAAGTTATTTGTGGGTTTCCTCAGGAAATTAATTAGGAAGAGTAAATGTTCAGGGTTCCCCTTTTTTATTTGATGAAGCATGGACCTAATTTTCTTTGAAAATATCTTGCAGGGTGCAGTGGTGCATGCCTGTCATCCCAGTGGCTGGGGAAACTGAGGCAGGAGGATTGGGAGTCCAAAGCGGGCCTCAGCAATGGTGAGGTGTTAAGCATTCAGTGAGTCCCTGTTTCTAAATAAAATATAAAAAGGGCCGGTGGCTCAGTGGTTGAGTGTCCCTGAATTTCATGCCTGGTATTCCTGCCCACCCCCCACCAAAAAAATCTGTTGCCAAAGAGAATTTTTGCCTCGAAGGGTTCCAACCCACTGGACAGGATCAAATTTAGAAATATAATATGAACTGACACTGTCACGTCAACCTATCCTCCAGGCAATGATGATTCACTGATTTAGATACTCACCTGTCTTCTTCCTAGCTGAAAGATTGCCAGTGTTGTTTTCTTGTTAGTGGCTCACTTTAAAGAGATCATCTACACATTTGGAAAAAACCAACCACATGACAAATTTATAGGTAATTTTGACTCAACCTAGCATACAAGGAGAATTTCTTGCCATCTTGGCCAGAGTGGACATGAGATTCTGGGATTCTTTTAGGAGAAATTGTTTCAACAAAACCACAATTGAAATTATTAATGCAGTCATTTGAAAACAACCAAGTTTTTTTTAAAATTTTTTTTAGCTTACTTTGTGTCTTTACAGATCTAACTATTCATGCACATGGGCAGAGCCAGGCTGACAGACTTGTCAAACTATGAAAGGCACATGGTAGGAAGGCATTTTAGTGCTTGATGAAGCATAAATTCAAATGGAACAACAAGAATAAACTCGTTCTTGAGATTTGTAAATATATGCATCGAATGCCTTGAATATTTAATTCACTGGTTCCTAATAATATATGTTGACATGGAAGATAATAAAGTGTAATGACTCCTAACCTCTTAAATGGGAATAATCCCTAAGAGCTGTCACTAAGATAGAAAGATTTAGAGAGTGGCTGGATTTCAGCAGCTAATAATAAAAACGCCACCCTGCTCGAAATAGTGTTGGATGCGTGCTACAACCCACTGAAGAAGGAAAAAATAAAAATAACTTGACATTTGTATATTACTTTGATACTTCATTTTTAGACTTTGTGGGTTCTCTTTGCCCATTGTGAACACTCCATATTGCTTAGTGTTAGGATATTCATTATAAAGACAACCTCAAAGACATAGAAAAGGACTGTATTTGAGAAAGATGCTTATAAGGTCCAGTGACTATCTCTGAATTAATTAATCCAATAACAGAATCGGGTATTTTCCAATGTGATTTTCAAACAATTCCATTCACCAGTTCAACAATAATGAAAGACCTAGGGGAAAAATATCTAGAGTTTGAGAATCAATAACTATGGTTTTTCTTTTTTTTTTTTGGCAACAGTATAACTTTCTAACCCAGAGAATATTTATTATTATTGAGTGAAGTCTGGGACAAGCCTGGAACCTCTATCATACTCATTTTTGAAATGGTCACACACCATCCCAGTGTGTAGTTGATGTTTGGAGACTTCAAGTGGAGAGATTTTAGAGCTCTCAGGGAGAGAGGAAGGCAGGGAAACAAGAAGAAGGTACAAATAGAGGAATAATTTGGCTTATTGATCTCTGAGTTCCTGCCATGTCCTGAAGCACCAGAGAAAGAGTCAATTACTTTGAGTGTATTGAATGTTATCCTATTTCTCAGAAAACTGTAAATCTGAATCGGTGATAAGTCTCTCATTAATCAAAACATTGGTTAAGCAGAAGACCAGCTTTGGGGCTATGATGGATGGCAGAGAATTTCCTTTGTGTTCTTAGTACTTTGCCCTGGATCTACTTCCAGCAGGAGCATCTCCTCACTTTCTCATTTGGTAACATGTACAGTGTTATTCAGCTGCTTTAGCTGGAGGGGTTTCTCTCTTATTTTTTTTCCCAGTGTGAGGAATTGTTGACCTTTGGCATATAGAACATTTAATGAGGTCCCTGTGCTGCTAAATGAGCTGAGATTCAAACACTGGTCATTTAGGTGGTTGGGAAGAGAGCGATACAGTTAAGTTGGGATTCAGACCCGTAAGAAATCTGTCCCCTGTAGGAATTGGAGTTAGTCCCATGTAATTTACTAAGCATTCCAGTCTGGTCCTTCCCCCTTCACTGTGTCAAGGTATACTGTCTCTTCATAATCTCTGAGGTAGCAAAGATGATTTCGTCTTGAAGCAATTCTTCACTGGTCGTTTGGGAAGGTAAATAGAAATAAATATGGGGGACTCAACATATTTTGTTCGTAATCTTTGAAATCCACATTTAGGAAATAGTTTTGAAATCTGTGTCATCTTATTGCTGTATCATAACTTACTTGAGTCCTGCATTACTCTGAAAGCACAGAGCTATTACAATGTTACATATCATCAAAAGGATTCCCATATACTCTGGGTCAAATTTTGGCTGCCAAAACTTAGGTGGACAGAAAGTTATTAGATATTAAGTCAGAGGAAATTTGTTCTTTTTTATTTTCAGAATTAGAAGTGAATTTCTTTATACCTCATCCAAGAGAAAATAACACCTGTTCTTTATCTAAAAAGATGGGTATAGTGATTTCATAGCTTTGTTTCTTTCCTGAAAGCCTCAGACCTAAATTGTGTCTATGCTTTATAGAACATTTATATTTCAAGTAGTTTTCTAACCACGCTATCATTCTGGATGTTAAATACACCAAATAGTTTTGTCTGATCAAAGGCAAGCCAGTCTTCCTTTATTAAGTAAGGATTTGCTGGGT